AAAAAAATCAGTGGAAGCTGTTGATGCAAATTTTGCATGATATAATTGACTTTTGTTTCATTGGAGAAGATTCAGAGTAGAAAAGTAGAGAATTTTGGCGTTCTTATGGAGGAAATATGTGTAAGTTGCCTGCGAACAACTGCGACGGCTGTCGTCAGTGCCTGCAATGTCAAAATACATTTATGTCCAATTGTATTTACTGTTGCCAATTCTGCGTTTTTTTTTAATTAACAGCAAAAGAGAAGATATCATTAATGCACTAGAAGAACTAAATACTTTCAAAGCGTACCCTGTCACTGCTCTAGTACGACTTTAATTTCCTTTTAGGATCAAAAACCAAAAGTGGAGTTTAATCTGTCCCTGTTCCGTGCACAACGTAACGATGAAGATGGCGACACTGATTTGAAGCCAGAAGTCGAACAACTACCAGAAGGGTTTCGAGAGCCAGACGATGCTCACTCATGCAGCGACTCTCCAGTGGGAAAGAAACCCAAGAGGCTAGTAGAAGAAATGTAATTCACATTTGCAATTATTCTGTGATTATTCGCACTTATTTCCTCAAAACAAAGAATTAGATTGGTAGAAAGGTTGAGAATTAGATTGTGATAGCAATTTACCTCTTTACACAGGCTTACGGGCTTAGTCTTTGTGCCTCTCTTGATGTAGTGTTAGGATTTTGCATTCATTTTCACTTACATTTTGTTCTTTTCAATGTTTCCTTTGCATACTTGTTGGCGTTCATCATAGTGTTTCTACTTCCGATAAGTTTGCATGGGTTTTCTGATCAATTGTTAGGCGTAGTTACTCGTCACTCAAAATCGGGTCGTAATATGTACAACACTTCGTTAGATCTTTGAAGCTCGAGTTTTACTCTACAAAATGTGACCATTGCAAATCTTGCACTTTTCCAACCTTTCATATAGCTACTAAAGTTCCATAATGCCGCTCGTTTTCATCTTGTCATTCACATTTGTTTACATCATAAGTAGTAAATATATATAAAGTTTTCTTTTCCCATCGTGGCTTTCAATTTGAAATCGGTTTATATTCAGATTATCTTTTCATTTTCACATGATATCTTAACTGTGCTATGTATTTCCTGATTTCGATCGAACCGCTGAAGCGAAGAAACTGAGTAGTGACTTTTCAACAGCAGGAAAGGTAATTGGCTATATAATTTGATAGAAATCTAATAAAATTACCGAGTTTTAACTTAAATTGAACTCAGAGGTGCTGCTGAAGTAGCAGGTTATACCTTTATCATTGACCCCTTTTGACTTTGTGTATTAGGATCAACACTGATCCAGTTTCCTATTTATCTGGACAACAACACTTGATAAAAAACAGGCGCTAACTTCTACCGGCATAAGGCGTTACGGTTGACCTTCACATTCAATCAGCGATTATCGTAATTGTGTCATGGTTCAGTGAGTTTTCCGTACCCTCCATATTAGCTAGAGTAATATAGCACACAATTAGCAATGCGTTGTTGCCTCCATGTAGTGCTTATTTCATCCTTTGCTACAATCCTACTTTACGCGGCAACTCTAATATCTCACGTTTGTTCTCTGCAAGTTCCCACATTGTCTTAAAACGTATAATGTGAAACATGTCCATTCTTGGTAGTACCTTATCCTTTCCTAGCTGTGAAAATGTTTGCAGCCTTCAGTGTAGATGACACTTTCTTCACGCTTCTCTCCACTACTCCACCGTATAGTTCACTGTTAAGCTCAGCTGCATACATTCAACACTTGACATCAACTCATCGTGCAAATATAAGAATCTAGTGAATATACAGTGATAGCAGAACTCGCGCACACTATTTCTTATCTTGTGTTGATTTCCAATAAATGTAAAGCAAGACATCCCCAACATTAAAACTAATTCTGATGTTATTACTCTCGTGAGGAGTAAGAGCACGAAGAAGTCAGAGTTTGAATAAATCTTAGCTTATTCATATTTCACGAACTGTTTGTTTGAGTCTAATTTGATCAGAAGCTAGCTCCAAATCTTCATTTTTTCATTCTTTTGCATAATTTGCAGTCACTCTTTTTGTATGTTATCTCTTTAATGTAGCCCGAGCAAAAAAGAAAAATGTACTTCTGCAATGCTGTGTTTGTGATATTCATCAGTTTTTTAACTTCATTAACTCTTTGATACAGTTTTTAATTTATAAATTCCTAGTTTTTCCTTCTCATGAATCTGAACGTAAGATCGTATTAGATAGTTGGTCATCCTCTTCAAAGTTCACAATGTGATTCATGTTGCGAAATTGCTCACTTTGATATCTCTTTAATATTCGACAACATATATTTTCTGCTGAAGATTTTGCAGCGTTTTGGTATCTTCCGAGTAATAGGACGTTCCATATTTTCTGTGGCAATGAGCTCGACCACGGCCGCTGAGCTTGACGTCCGAGCACTTGAGAAATTGAAGGATATATATGGCGATTTGGCACAGGTTCCAGTCCCATCATTTGGACGAATCAAGCGATCCGGGAAGATTATTGAAGTAAGATTTCATGGAGTTTAATGATGTTCTTCCTACGCGTCATTCAGGTGACGTCCATATGGGAAAATCATGCCTTGCCTTTGAAAAAAACCACTAAGACACAGCGCTCGTCTGTGCTGGAACATATTGGTGACACGAAAGAACTTCGCTTAGTATCTACAACTTCTTTACCGCTAACGAGTTTTGAGTAAGTTTGTTTTTTTAGGCAATCGAGCAACAGGCCACATCTCTAATTTAGGGCTCAGGCAATCGCGTACTCGCCAAGCAACTCGATGGTGGCTCAGATAATCACGATCCCCGACGGAAAAGATAAGAAACAGTATTTGAGAGTTAGTGCGTTTCGTATCTTGTTGAAGATCTGGTACTATTCGAAGCGTTAAGGTAATCGATCAAAATGAGCACATTGAAGTGTTGTGCTCTGATTTGAGCGGTCAGAAGAAGCATGGGATCATTTTTGGAGGTGGCTCAGGTTTGTTCGCTGGTTGCTTTTTTTCTGTAAACTTAGTTGAGTGAGCTGCAGTCTCTATTTTGAAGGGTTGATTTTGTAATGTTGAACGGAATGTTGAAGGACCTTTTTTTT